TGTTAGCTCTGTTACCTTTTTAGCTTTGTAAGCTTTGTTAGCTTTGTTAGCTTTGTAAGCTTTGTTAGCTTTGTTAGCTTTGTTAGCTCTGTTAGCTTTGTTAGCTTTGTAAGCTTTGTTAGCTCTGTTAGCTTTGTTAGCTTTGTAACCTCTGTCAGCTTTGTTAGCTTTGTTGGCTTTGTTAGCTTTGTAAGCTTTGTAAGCTTTGTTAGCTTTGTTAGCTCTGTTAGCTTTGTTAGCTTTGTAAGCTTTGTTAGCTCTGTTAGCTTTGTTAGCTTTGTGACCTCTGTCAGCTTTGTTAGCTTTGTTGGCTTTGTTAGCTTTGTAAGCTTTGTAAGCTCTGTTAGCTCTGTTACCTTTTTAGCTTTGTAAGCTTTGTTAGCTTTGTTAGCTTTGTAAGCTTTGTTAGCTTTGTTAGCTTTGTTAGCTCTGTTAGCTTTGTTAGCTTTGTAAGCTTTGTTAGCTCTTTTAGCTTTGTTAGCTTTGTAACCTCTGTCAGCTTTGTTAGCTTTGTTAGCTTTGTTAGCTTTTTAACCTTTGTTAGCTTTGTTAGTGTTGTTATTCTGTGTTTTTCCTTTTCAACCAACCTTTGAATCTCACTTTCTGACATTTTTTGACAAAAAAAACTAATGTCTGGGTTGAGTCTGATGTGACTTTTCCTTTTATAGATCGACCGCCCACATCTCCATTAGCTGGAGCAGAACAGAGCCTGAACAGAGTCGGTAGAGCCGTGTTTTCCTGTTTCCGTCATGTTCTGTGCAGGCTAAATCCATCACTCCGCTGTCTTTGACCTCTGCTCTTTGTTTTTTCATTCCACTGGCTCAAAAAGGCTCATGAAAGGTAGCCGAGGTGTTCTGTTAACCCTGTAATGCCAAATGTTTCATATTTGATTCATACGGTTTCTGAAATGTTTTGCGTCTGACACCTTTTGCATAATTTAATGGTAAAAACTTTGCTCAAAATCCTATTGTACACAATCAGATACACCTGATAACAGGGGGCAGAAGACTACACAAAAAATAATCTTGACTTATCGCATAGTAATAAATTATTAATATTACAATTTTATGTTTGTTTTTTCTTTTTACATATTTTGTTAAAAGGCCAAATAAGGAATTCAAACAAAAAAAAAGTAATTTTCTTATTTGTTTTATTCTTGGATCAGGCTTTAAAGGGTTAAAGCCGCCTAGAAGACGAAAATAGCCGCATTTTTACAGTCGCCCTGATAGAAATATGACAAAAAAATAAGCCGAAGCCTTCATACCGAGGAAAGACCGATGCATTATCTGATAAATATCTGAGCCGAACAAAGGATGATTCACATCCGGCTGGATTTTTCTCACTTTTTTTTTTTCCATTTTTAAAAAAACACACAATGCCAACCGGGGAATGAAACATTACACGATCAATTAATCAATCCCCCGATTTGCCTGGAACAGAATCCTGACTCAGACAGGAAGGCTTTCATAAACCAGCCCATTATCCACTCCGGTTTTAAAGGCAACCTTTGATATGACAGCAGAAGAGCAGTGTGTTGCCTTGACTGTGTAAGTGTTATATGATGTGCCGTTCTGTACGGGTAAGGGATGGGTGGGGATTTGATCTTTTATGTTAATTTTTGTATATCCTTTTTGAAAATTTAATAAAAAAAATAAATAAATAATAAATAACCTCAGTCCAAAGTTAAGGTAGGCTTGCAAGGTCCATCGGCTCTTTTTTGCTCTCTAATTTGTGTATAGTTTCATAGGAATTTCTGAATCCTTTCAACCAAATAGGTTTCATTGAGCCTGTTTTAAGTGTGAGGCGGGCAGGTAACCTTGTATTTTAAAGC